CCTGCCCCTTTCATCTCCATCGGAGCCCCTCAGCCAGCTGAGCAGTACCCCACCGCACCTGAGTCTGAGGCGCTGCTGCAGACACCCCCACCCCCAGTCCTGGGGAAGGGTTTGGGTATTCCCAGCTCTGCAGATGGAGCTGCCCCCAGGGGCCCTGGATTTGTGCCAATTCTCTTTTCTGGAGCCTCGGGCCAGAGGGGGGCCCCCTCCCATATGCTCACATGTCTGTGGAAGAGTAGGCATCTGCTTGGTCTCTCCACCCTGAAGAGTTACGGTTATTAAAATAATTGAGAGCTCTTGCAAATGTCAGCCCTCAGCTGTGGGAACAGCAGTGCTCCCGCCCTCTGGGCTCTGGCTGTGGATTACTCACAAAAGCCCCAGGGTCCCAGGCACACGCTTTTCTTCTCCTAATAACCCCAGCCCTGAAGCTCCCCTGAGGCCAGAGTGAACTCTGTGTTCCTCTAGTGTACGTCAGGTGTGACAGCAAAAGCTGTCGTTAGACAGGATGGAGAAGGAGGCCTCCTGTCTTGTGGAAACCAAGGCGGTTGTTGGCATCCACTTATCTGCCTTTCTTGGCTTTTTCTGCTCCAAGACATGTGTTCCCCAGACGCGTCCGTGGAACCCAGGTGTTCTGAGAAAAGAGGGTGCTGTGCTTCTTCAGCTTCAGAGTATCTAATCCACCCCCGGATGTGTGAAAACACCTATTTCTGGGCCCACCCTGGGTGTTTCTAACTCAGCAGCTTTGGGATGAGTCTTAGAATTTGATTCCTGCCAGCTTTGCAGCTGAGGCTCAAGCTGCTGGTCCAGGGCCCATCCTTTGAGAACCACCTCTCTAGGCCCGTTTTCTAGAACTGCACATCCTGGAGGTCAAAGAAACTGGGTCTGTTGTCTGCCCCCTTGTGAGTGAAGGCTGTCTAGGTTGTCAGGAAGGGCCATGAGGATCACTAACGTGGAGTCTAGAAGCAAGCCGACCAAGCCTGGCATCAACGGTGCCCGTAAAACATGCGTTTGGCAGAAGCACCTAGAACTGGGCTGAGAGCCGTCAAGGGCTTGGGAACTGTGGTAACCATGGTAACCCTTAATTTCCATCCGAGTGACATGGACACGCTCACCAGCTAATCAGGGGACCGTCTCACTGCTCTGTTAAGCAGGGAACCGGCCCGGGCTGGTGGCACCCCTGAAAGGGCCTCCTGGCCTTTCTTTGCTTTTTCAAAATGTTCCCACGTCTCCCAAGGGCGCTGGGCCTGTTCCTGACATTCTGTGGCATGCCGGGAGGGCTGGCGGTCTCGCAGCTGCTTCTTAGGCCAGGGAAACTAACACCTCTTAGACCGACAAGGCCCTGGAATTCCTTGCACAGTAAACGGATGGTTTTCTGATCTGTGGTCTTCCCTCTCCCTAGGCCCAGAGTCCCCTGTAGCCACAGGTGGGTGGAGGGTGGCAGTGCCAGGCTACTCACAGGAAATGCCCAGGGAAATGCCCAGGTAACAGCAGTGTCTGGTTACTAAGGTTCAACCGAATCTTTCCTTTTTGGGATCCACTTGATGTGTGGATGGGACTTAGGTTTGGGGGGTTCTTCACTGGGAGACTTCGGCAGGTCACCTAACTTCTCTGGTCTCGTTTCTTCCTCCCTTGGGTCATGGGGTTCCATCTCGCCCCCCTCACAGGGAGGGGGTGTGGTAAGTGAATTACGGCTGGGAAGGAGTGCATACGCGAATCACGGAGTGCAGCAGGGCCTGTTTCCTGCTCCTTCGGCCCCTCCCCACCTCTGCAGGACTGGGGAGGTGGCCAGAGCTCCAGGCAACTTCCCTGGAAGACTCTGGGGAAGGGGCTGCTGGTGGGTTGCCCCTGCCAGGGCAGTGTGGATCCTGAGTTTTAATCTTGAAAACATGCTTCTCTGTCGGCCCACTGGGGAAACTTTTATCTCAGCAACCTGGCCGGCCACTGGCTCACCTTGGGGTCCCCAGGTGGTCAGTAAGCAGGCCTCTATTCTCTCTCTGGCTTCTACTGCTTTTCACATGCTTCATCCCTGTGCCAGGCCCACTGGGGAGCAGAACAGACACTGGGCCCTCTGCTGTGAGATTCACACCTCACCACTGCTCCTACCCTGAAATAGCCCTGATTACCCGCCTTCTTCTAGGGTGAGAATTAACTCCAAGGCAATTATATTCCCCACAGAATCAATGAAAACCAGCACAGGAATAAGATTTTGGTGAAGTACCAGGATTATGCAATCAGCTGACCCAAACAACAAACAGGTCATAACGGTAAGCGAAAACCCTTTCCAGCAGGAACAGGATTCCTCATGAGGCTACATCTAATAGGAAACAGACCAGGCCATGCCAGAGAAACATGCAAACACCCCTAAAAGTCATTGAACAAATGTAAAGACACCTCACTCTTGGGTAGGACTCAGTACAGAAAGAAATCACTGCGATCAAGCCGGACTTTGTAATAAATTGTGTGGAGGTGACCAAGTGACCACTGGGAAAAAGATGAATATAGATCCATAGCTCACACCGTAACAAGGGTAAACTCCACGTGGTTAGGGTCCTAGACATAAAATGAAAGCCATATAAGTACTAGAAGAATGAGTGAATGGATTCTTTAAAAGATGGGAAAGGAAAAAAAAAAGTTAGGAAAGCCGGCCCTCCCTGATGGCACAGCGGGTTAAAGCACAGCACTAAGAAGCTTAAGCCACTTCTGCGTGAGTTCGATCCCCGCCTGCCCCGGAGGTGACCACATGGCGCGGCAGACCTCTCCTGACCCGCCCGCTGCTCCCCTCAGCAGTGTACTTCCTCGATCTGCCTGTTCTGCTCCCCACTCTGTCTCTGGTGAATCCTCTCACCCTCTGCATCTCTGGCCTGTACCCCAGTTCTGTATGAATAAATAAACAAATCTTAAGAAAAAAAAAAGTTGGGAAAGGAAGGCTTTCCTAACTATGATTCAAATCCAGCTGCAAGGAAAGATGAATGAATATGGCTAACTAAAAGCCAAGAAATCTGTATGACAGAAACCACTGACAAAGTCAAGGGACGTTCAGTGAGCGGGAGCAAATATCAGCACAGATAAAGAGCAGGCCTAAAATCCACGAAGAGTTCTTTAAGATTTGTTTGTGCATACAAGAACTGGGGCACAGGCCAGAGGTTTGGGGGTGGAGGTGAGAGGACTCCCCAGAGACAGAGTGGGGAGCAAAACAGGCAGATGGGCTGAGATACACTGCTGAGGGGAGCAGCAGTCACATCAGGAGAGGTCTGCCATGCGAGTCAGCTCCCTGGCTGGGGACGGCCTCATAATGCTGTGCTTCAACCCCCTGTGCCACCAGGGAGCGCCCTCCATGAAAAATTCTTAAACAACGAAGGACAAAGGGCTGAAAAGCCAATAAAAAACCCAGAAGGACAAATTTACCAAAAAGATAAGTGATACATGATAAATACTCAGATTCACTCAGTCTCAGAAATATAAATGTCAGGTCAGACCATTCGTGCGCCTCCCCCAATTCTTAGGCAGAAAGCCTAATGATCCAAGCGGAGGCATTAAGAGGCAATTAGATCATGAAGGTGGCGCCTGCATGAAGTGGGGGGCAGCGCCTCATAAGACACCCCACAGAGCTCCTGAGCCCCCACCCACCAGCTGAGGAGGGCATGCTCCCAGTCTCGGCAAAACTCGTGTGACCCTGGACTCCCAGCCCCAGGGCTGTGAGAATTGCATTTCTGTTGTTTAGAAGCCCCCCTGGCCCACCCCCACCCCCGGCCCCCATCTGGGGTATTTTGTTAGAGCAGCCCAAGCAGACTACACAGCAAGCGGACAGAACATGGAGGAGCCATTTCTCACCTACTGAACAGGCAGAAAAACAAAAACAAAAACACCAG